AATTAATTAATTAATTAATTAATTAATTAATTAATTAATTAATTAATTAATTATAATTAATTATAATTAATTAATTAATTCAAGGTAATTGCTTGTGTCAAGTCGCCAATTTCCCCACAAACGCTTAGAGAATTTAACACTCTCTTTTTCCCATATTGGTACACTAGAAACACATCAGTACGCCGGCGCGATACCAGTACATGTTGGTCAACAGAACCCGGATGTAGGTAGTAGACAAGTTTATACGTGACACACTGACGTCCACATTGAAGACACGAAAGAAAGATAGCTGTCATCGCCCGACATGCAGATAAGTAGTCAAAACATTAACGTAATTATCCCAGTGTGGTAATTAATAGATACGGTCGTCATAGCAATCACGCTGTCAACAAACTTGAACAGATACAAATTGATGATACATGTCACCCATTCAATGAGCTGAGAAATGCGAGACCCTGAAGTAAGTAAATTGCTACCCTAGACGCCGATGTGCTAGTCTCAAATTAAAAGTGTGGGTAAACATTAAATTAGTCGCGTGGCACAGGTGAGTTTCAGAGACGAGTACCAAGATGGTGGGTGATACGTGAGTTGAAGCTAATTATTGTTCAACTACCGGGAAATCAAAATATGAATATTTATAATTAAGCATTTTATTTTTCAAATTGAATGATTTATGACAATTTGAAATCAGTATTTTGGGTCGTTAATAATTTTGACTAAAAATTACTTTAAGTTTCTTATATATTGAAAATAAAAGGTTGTTAGAACCTGTCATCGTTTTATCATAACTGTTTGTTGTGTGTAGCGTCGCGTGGCAAACGAATGATATGGGTCAATGTGCCAGTGTCACCAAGATGGCGCATTTACATTTCAGTCTAATTCTCTAGAAATATGACAGACCTTTTTAGGATGTCGATGACTTGAATCAATCCATTTGTTCTACGTCGTTTTGAGACTACAAACACTTTCATTACTACAATAATTTGATGATATATGTTCGCTTATGGCAATTAGTCTGTTGCTATGTTATATATCATTGGTTACAAGTTTGATAGTACTTCACGTAATAGCGGTAATGCGACAATGTTTAAAAATGTTCACAAACCCCAAACTCCACACGTGTTGTGACAATGGACACTTACCTGCGTATGAACCGCCTTCGTCAAAATTTCTCGCCGATAACGACGACCAAGCAATTACGGAAACCACGCATCCAGCGATCAAAGATACCCGTATCACGTTAGCTAAATAACGCTTCTTTTCACGGTATTCCTTCTGGCGTTCGCCGTTGCCAAAACGGGGCCTCGGCCTCACTCTTCCGAACCTCATTTCTCTGTATGGACAAAAAAAAACAAAAAAAAATTCTGTTAGTTAATTGTTACAAGAGATATGTTATCACTGACGAAGACGAAAACGGATGAAGAACGCTGTCTCCATCCATTGCATGTAGGTCGGTTTTAAAGGAAGTACTCCGGACGTGAATATATCTACATATCATGATGTCCTATAGCTTCTGTACATAATCTCTATCTACTACCTTTGCCTGGAATAAAACCACGTGACATTACGATCTAATGATCGCATGCGCTATTTCAGTGCCGTATACCAACGGTGGTTTCATCCTGGTCGCTGTTATATCCTGAGCGAAGCCTGGGGAAAAAATTACGTTCAAAGCTCGCAACACAAATTCAGCCGCATTCTCTTCGAGAGTGGTTCTCACGTGTCGCACCCCAAATCCCGCCTAATTAAGGGACACATGTTATCTCCATTCTTAACAGTATAAGTATATTCCTACGTGAGTCTCAAACCATGGGGAAAAAAGAAAATATTACATTTCTTGTTGCTCTTTCAACATCCATCGATCGACGCCATCTACACATCATAATCGCGCCGTACTCCCTAGTTGTTTGTAGTTAAGCAAATGTTGTCGCGTTGCTATGGACGACTAATACAACAACGCACGCATATCGGCGGATGTCGTTGCTACTTAATAATACAACTAAGGAGCATTGCGACGGTTGTCAATGTTACTCAAGACATAGTCATACTCATTTATTCCTTTACGTTGTTCTTCTACATCAAAAGAAGTTATTTGTTATTAATATTTTGATCGTCATAGCAAATAGATATTCAATATGAACAGCTCGATCGTCTTTGCACAGAGCATTGAAACCTTGAACGTCATCCTAAGACACGATCACTTCCGACTCAAATCATGATAGAAGCTGCAATTTCGCTTTCACGGCCACTACCTACGTATATCTCAAATGATTACTACGATTACATCCTACTATTTTCTATATACTATATTTATCGACAGCTTTCTCCAGTTGTTTAAACGTGCATATCATATGATTCGTCGACTTCACACAATGTTCTGTTTATACAATACTTTTGTGTAGCCTCAAGTAGCGGACTACGAAAGATACCGGGGTATTTTGGAGCTTTCAAGAACAGTGAATTCAAATTCATGATAATCTGGTTCGTTTAATAGTCATTCTCATTTTTAACGATATTAACAGGGGGAAAAAACAATATCAAATATATCAGTATTTCCGTTTCAACTTCGCGTTAACCAGTATTATTAAGAGGGGTTCCACTGTGTATAGTCGTACATGTTGTTGCAAAATACCTCAGCCCACTAAAAGAGCACAACCGCATCTAGCTGGACTTCCGTGATGTTATTTTAATGAGATGCATAACTTTCTTGCTTGTTGAATTGATTGATTGAAATGCGCGATGAGACGCTGAACTACTAATATCTGCCTGACCCGTCAAAGCGTTTTCAGATTCCTATCAGTACAAATCACAAGATCGGATGCGATTATACAATTGCTGTTGTCTTCAAATTTATGTTTTCAAAGATTCAAATCATAAAACAGAAAAAAAAACACCTGATCCTCGCGGAGTTTGTCGTATGTTTAAACAGTGAGCAATATAGGTAATGAATTTGTGGCTGTAATTAGATAGACGACGTTGAATGATTGATTAGTTATTTTCCAGTAAAGGAGACGAGCACTTAAAGGCCAATTTCCAACATAAAACCGAATTAAACACCGTCACATTTGTTTCCTGCTAACGACATTTTTTCTCATCACGACCCAAAAATTATATCTGATCCATTATAGATAACGTTATTGCGATACCTCCAGCAAACAAGAAATTATGAGTTATGGAAAAATAATTTTAACTCTGGAATAAACAGATTTGATAGTATTCCCATTTGATGCTTGATATAGGTATACTATATATTATCAATACCACACAGGTGTCCCAACTGATGGTCATGCTTACGCGTGTTATCGAGCCCCGGGACGAGTGCTCGTCACTGGTAGAAAACATGCATCTATTCCATGATGGCGTTATAGTTTGAAGCGACTTGTGTTGATATGGTTATACACTTACACTTGCTTCTAACATAAACAGGAATACCGTATACACGCGTTATCACGCAAAGTAAACAGTCCTGTACAAGCGCGCCACGTGCGTACTTGGGCGTACTAACGTTCGACGCGGGGTTCGCCGCTGAACACCGAACAACGTTAGCGAACACGAACTGCATACTCACGTTTTACTTTAGTAATTGTAATTTTCTTATAGAAAAACGAAAGATTCGATTAAGTTTTTTTTTTTATTTTACAAGGTGATAGGATTATATTTAGCAGAGTTGTATGGACTTTTCTATACACAAAAAGATGTTCGTGTTTTTTTGACAAATAAATTTTAGTTATTAGAAAGTTATGTGAACTATAAAAGTGCACAATTGCGTGAGAAAATGTGTGACATAGTGTATGTACTAATTGAATTGTCGTTTATAATCGCTAACAGTGTGTATTACATTACCAGCACAATAACATTAAAATAAAGTTGACTTGTGCTATCAACTTGGGGGATCTTTCGCAAAAATAAAAGTGGGCGGTGGTTTAATAACAGAGAGAGGAATAGGGAGATTAGACGATCCTAGTGCGTGGTTCACCAGCCCGGTAAAAGCCCCGGTTCATCTTGAGACAAAAACGTATACATGTATGCAGGGGTGGACGAAATGGACGTAATTATACTGGGTGGTGGAAACAATGTTGAATTACAATCATATAATTACCCCCACAACAGTTTATCAAACATTTCGCAAACGATGTCCGAATGGAACACTTCGACGATGCACACAGCCTGAACAAACAAATATGATATACATATCATCATGTCTTACCTAACAGCAACGGTCTTTAAACGTGAATACTAATCCAGTTGTTAACAACACATTAATATTAGCAGCGCTGCAATCAGTGGTTCATCGCGAATACAACTTTGGTACAAGATAATTAATTACAGTGTGAACCACAAATACAGCCAGCCATAATGGCCTATTGTACTGGTTGTGTTCGGAGATTCGACAATGCGCGCACGCTCTGATTCGGTTGCCGGGGTTACTCAGACGCGCGGAGAAAGGAGCAATTGTCGTTAGTACGTTGTTTATTCTCTCCAATTCACCTTTGATCTTCGCTTTTAGGAAGGCGTGACCCATGGAAATAGCTACCTCATTTGTGAAAGCTATCGCAGGGTTGGCGCTCTCCACTATTCGAGTACTTCTTCAAGAGCGCATTGACTATTTTAAGGGCATCTTAAATTGAAACTACAACAGCAATATAGTCAGGTATCAATGTGCTACAATACTGTCCAATGCTACGTAAAAACGAACCTTCGACGACTCAATTTGTTCACGGGTTTAAAGAATCCGTAGGTCATTCACAAAACCCGCGATAACGTCAATCAGAGGAGGGAAAGTAATCTATTGTCCTTTACAATGACTTGGGGGTAATGAGGTGAGATGACCGATTACCGTGGTGTATTAAGTGGTCTGTCTGGGCATGGAGCTAAATGGTCTGGACGAGTAAAAAGAAAAACCGAAGTCTTCAAATCTATGATTTATCCACAGTTAAATGAGGGTTTATAGTAAATTTATATATTATAGTATATATATGTCCCCACACTGGGATTTTTCAAATTAAAAAAGGATTTTTTTAGAATAGTTTTATATGTAAATTACGTTGTCAGAATCGATGTTAAAGTTGCGAGTGCAGATCGTGGAATACGGCACTGTGTACCGGCGTGTCATCAACATCTTGAGCGGTTGACAATCATCAATAATTGCCCGCTTTGGTATGCAACAGGCCAGTGGGCAATATAATGACCCTTTCCCCCATACTAGGTCCAAGAACCGCTTTGTAAATTTAATTTATTACGTGTTTAGTGTTGAGTGATTTCAGGTGGACACCAATTTGAGGCAACGTATAAGTAGCATGCTTGTACTCCCACCAATTCAAACACGTTATATATATGTAAATGTCTTTTTGGAACAAAATTGCAGCATGATGATGATGATACCTAAGGAAATTACGCAATGATGAATGTATACACGCAACGAATAGAAAACAACGCTGTAGGCATTGATGTATTGGCAACTGGTCAACCATATGTCAGTGTATGCCAGAGAAGACTTAATAATACACCATCAGACAAGCTTTTTACTCGAAAAATACATTATCGAAAAGTGCCCAAGTATACACTGTTAATAGCATTATGGCAACCTGTGCGAGATGACAGTAGGATTTGTTTCCCTTAGATGAAGTAATTTCTAACTTGTATTACAGGGTCGTCGTGTGTTAGAATTTGTTAGATTTATTTAAAAAAAACCCAAATATTTCCGTGACTTCTTGTACGTAATTCTTGACCCAAATAAAAAGCTAGCTATGGCCATGCTTCGTGCACGGATAATGAACTAACAATGAAGCAATATGGTCTATCACCATGGCAGCAAATGATGTATTACTATAGCAACGAGATAATTTCCACATTTATTCGACTGACATGTGTCGTTTACTGGTTCTGTGAAAACCTTCACGTCCTTGACATTGGCAGTGAGATAATAAACCACACTGGACTTTGTCACTATGTTGGCAGTGGCGAAACGGCACGTCACGGTGGGCAGATTGAACGGGTAATATGCAGGGGTTCAGTATCTCTATTGGTTGTGTATTGATGTTCATTGACAGAATATTTCATTTACTTCAGTTTTCATGGAATTTCTGGTAGTGTTATTGATTGGATACCACAGCACAAATGTTGGGAATCAGTGCCGATTATAGTCAAAATTATCTTCTCAAGGGAACAACAACGACCTCACGATATAAAACAAATCTTGGATCACGCGTGATTTGTATAAAGAT